AGTTGGGAAGACATAGTAGGTCTGAGAAAACAATTTTAAACGCTTCTCTTTCTAGCTGAATATGTCAAATGGTTTTACAGTGATTCTTACGACAAATGGTGTCAATATGGCTAAACTTCTTATCTGAAGAGCTAGGAAAAAAAGAAACTCAATCAGTTTAGTGGTTTTTGAATATTAAATATTTTGTGGGATGGATAATTATACCATTCTGTTACACGATTAGGACAATTTTGCTGTTACACCCGCTATATATATATATATATATATATATAATCGAATCTCCCGTCGAGATTCGACGTATGAGGGTCAAGCAGATCAGTTTCCAGTTGCCATCCAAGGCTAGAGAACCCAGTCTGTCCGGCTATTTTACCCATAGCTGGAGGGAGAGTAAGAGGATTCACACCTTTCCCAAGGTTATTAGCGCGTAAGGGAATGTAATGGATTCGACTGGAATTCGAACTCGGCTCTGCGATTCCTCAATCCAAGCCGCTATCCATTACTCCACCGTGCCTCCTTTATAGCGGGCGTAACTATATATGTAACTTTATGTATATATATATATATACACACACACACATATATACACACACACACACACACACATATATATATAGCCGGTGTATATATACATATATATATATATATATATATGTGTGTGTGTGTGTGTGTGTGTGTGTGTGTGTGTGTGTGTGTGTTGTGTGTTTTATTGGTACAAAACTTAATAACCGTCATAAATTGACAAAATTTGTATTTATTACCACACATGATAACAATTGAAAAGAACAAATGAAAAATGAGCTAGCTAAACCGTTTCGAACCTCGCTCACCATAGATAAATCGGGGTTAATAAATACATAATTATCAATAAAATGATTCATAATATGTAAGGTATAGAAAAAATATTCTTTAGTAGAAATTAATTGGAGGCCAAATACAAAATCCTTCTGTTTACATAACAATGGTCTCAAGGACTAAATATATATAACCTCCAATATTTTTAAGTGGTAACTTGAGTGACACTAAGGAGAGAAAACAAGTCCACACTGAAATTAGCTGCCCAATTATGGCTATTTAATAAGTGATCCCCGATGGAAGACCCGGATGTTTTGGACAGAATGTCCGAAGGAGAATATTTAAGATTTCGGAATTTTGTTGGTAGATGTTGGTATATTCTGAGTTGTTCTCCATATGAAGTGTTAACCACAACTAAATTTTAATGAATAAATCAAAGAACTATTATGATGTTCAGAAAGCATTGGATGGCCGTTTCGCCTTTTTGGGGAGTCATCATCAGTCCGCATCTATTACCGAGTACCGAACCCAGACAGTTACGATACGGCGCAAGCGACATACCAACCGTACCAACAGGCCTCTAGTGTTTTCTGCATTCGGTTGAGGATTCTTCTAGGTTCGAAGTATTAACTGGATTTTAATGAAATTACCCCTCCAATAATTTCAGTGTTTGTATATCAATGCTTGAACCAAAGTCTAATAATCTGAGAGGGAATGGATGGGGAAAAGAAGACGTCACTCGTGGGGGGTGCACAATCCTATGGGAAAGGTATTCTCGGATGAGTTACACCACGGAAAGTGAGACCATTGCTATATCGAGTCTTGTGGTCACCGCTTCGTCACCGAGGCTCATTGGTACAGTTGGCATGTCGCTCGCGCCAAATACTAACTGGCCGGGTTCGATTCTTGGTAGTGAATGCGCACCGCTGATAAGTCCCAAAGAGAAACGAAACGGCCGTCTAGTGCTTTCTGCATTCTGTTGTGGATTATTCTAGATTCGATGAATTAATTGTATGTATATATATATATATATATATATCTGTGTGTGTGTGTGTGTGTGTGTGTGTGTGTATTAATTTAATTTTCTGGAAAGCGGTTTACCTAAGCGAAGGGCCAGTCGCGTGACACAAAATTGTCTGGATAACACCTCATTAGAGACCAGTAATAAAGTTCTTCCTCCACCTCCATGAGTCCAATTCATGGCGCGAATTAATTAATCGGATCCTCCATGTCTGCCAATTAATAGATTTGCTTTTAGCAGTTCCGAATTCCTTACTTGTGAATATTAAATGAAACAATCTTTGGACAGTCTTGTTCACTCTAAAACAATTCTTAGTGAGAAATTGAATTAAAAAGGATTGGAAAAGGTTTTCAGTGTTTCGAAAATGGATCCCGCACGACTTGTCTCCTGAGAATCGTCAGCAACGTGTCGATTTGCTGCAAGTCATTGCTTCGTCCATCTATAATCTTCAAAAATTTAAATTCGACTTCTGTTTAGACATTTTCTATTGCTTATCAACACTTTGCAGGTTATTTAAAGCTAGAATATATTGTAAGATTGTAAGATTTTTCTCTTAAGATAAACACGTTTTTAGTGACATAATTCTTGCTATTTGACCCATAGCTGGGGTAGCAGAAGTGTATTCATACGCTGCTCTTCGATTAATAATTCCGCCCCATTATTTATTACACTACGCGCACATTTAAGCTTACAGTACCTGGTATTCCCAAGCGGTAACCCATCAAGGTACTTACCAGGATCGACGTTGTTTAACTTCGGTGATTGTACAGGAACCGATCTTTCGACGTGATGCGGCCGTAAGCCCTCTTCATAAAAGAGTTTAGGAAGGAAATGCTAGAAAAATCTATAACAGTGTGTGGAATTGAGAAAATTATTTCCTGAATGAGAATAATTTTATCATTTTCAACCGACAGTAACGTTAACTATTTGGATAATGAATGTTACCATTCTGCTTAAAGTTCGTATCTTTTTATTGCTGCCATATCTGGTCTGGTGCTCCCATTATATATCTCGAGATTCTTGATAAAACCCAAATAGGAGTCAGCAATGTCATCGATTCTGACATGGAAACTAGACTTCAGACACTTTCTAAACGACGTGATGCAACTCCTTTCTGTTTTTTCTACAAATATTTTAATGGCAATTATTTTAATGAGCTTCCATCCTTGGTGGCTCAACTGCATGAATTTAAGCTTCCTACTAGATTAGTAATTAGTTCACACCGTTTTACTGCTGAACTTGCTCGATGCAAGCATATGTTCTATTTTAGTAGTTTCTTTAGTCGCATTTCTAACCCCTTCCGATTTCTTGCTTCCCTGCCAACGACAATCTTCAAAAATTTAAAGGCAACGCCAATATCCATCTTCGGTCTTCGTTAATCACATTCACGCTGTAAGCATATGTTCTATTCTAATAGTTTCTTTTCTCGCACTTCTCACCTGTTGAACTCCCTTTTAATTTCTTGCTTCCCTGCCACCTACAATCTTCAAAAGCTTAAAACAAATGTTAATCGCTATCTGCATGAATCCTGTTCTTTTGTTGTCCCTTTTTGTCAATAGAGTCTTCTCACTCTCTTTCCCTTATGGTAACTCCTTGCACCTTAGTGGCATTATCATCTTGCTTGGAGTGAAATGATTAAAAAAAAAAATAAGTCAAAATTTTAAGGAAAAGGACAAAATTTCAAATCTTGCCAGATTTCTTATTTCCAATTTGTATAACTTAATTATTATAGAATGCAAGAATAATCTGAGAGTTGGGATTTAAAAAAAAATAGGACCAAATAATTATTAGCAAAAATAATATATAGTAATATAGTACACTGATATATTAATATAGTATATAGTATATTTTTTGAAGAAAATTCTACAGCCTGATTTTAATCTATATATATTTGGTAGATATTCTAGTAAAGTTTTTAAGGTCTTCTGCTATCTTTTGACGTAGTCATCGTCTGAAGTTGAGAGCTGACGGCGAAAAGAGTTGATAATATAGATTACAGTTACTGTAATAATAATAATAATAATGATAATAATAATAATAATTCGATCCTGACCTGGCATTTCGACTTCAATCACTTTCCCACCACCGTGGCATGGCTTCTCTTTGTCTTTTCTACAAATATTTTCATGGCAATTGTTTTGATGAGCTTATCTCTTTGGTGCCTCAACTACATGAATTTCATTTGATTGGCAATTAGGTCACACCGTTTTACTGCTGAACTTCCTCGATGCAACCATATGTTCTATTCCAGTGTTTTCTTAAGTAGCACTTCTAGCCCCTTCCAATTTCTTGCTTCCCTGTCAATGAAAAAATCTTGAAAATTTTCTGAGTCCGTTCTTTTATTGTCTTTTCTCCCCAGTAAATTCTTCTCACCTTTTTTTTTCATTTTGTGTACCCCCTTACGTCTTAGGTGCATTAGCGCTTTGCTTGGGGTGAAATTATTTAAAAAAATAAGATTTTAGATAAAAAGTTGGAAGTTTTCCAACATATTTCAGCGAAATGTTCAATTCCCAAGATTATAGAAGATTATTGAAATATGAGAAAAATGCATCAATTTAAACTAATGCATGGGAGATATGAGTAAAAATGGTGTCTTTCTTTTTCAATATAGTTCGTCCATTGTACTTAGAGTTTGTATTTTCTTTATTTCAGATGAAAACTTGCAGATTTTCCAAAATATTTCCCTAAAATGTATAGTTTTATAGTTATTATTTGAAAAAAAATGACAAAACACCGAATCCAAGAGGATATGAATGCCGCCATTTTTAATAATAATAATAATAATAATAAAAACATTATTGAGGAGAGAGAACAATAAAAGAACAAGAAGTAAGAAGACAGGAAATAATAATTGACACTGCATTTAAATTTTTGACCGTCAAAGAAGCAAAAAGCCAGAAGAGAGTTCCACAAGCGAGAAGTGCGAGAGGAGAAACTGTTAGCATAGAACTTACGGTAATATCTAGGCATTTCAACTGTAAAATGATGTGAGTTAACAGCCAATTTAGTACTGCGCTTAAATTCATAAAGTCTAGGTACCAAAGCGGAAAGCTCATCAGAATAATTACCATTAAAGTAATTACAGAAAAGACACTGGGAAACTACATTACAGCAGTGGGAAAATGATTGAAGCCGAGATGCCAGGTGAGGACCAATATCATTGCAGATTTTTCTTTTGATTTTCTCAAGAATTTCTAAATATATAACAGGAGCACCTGACCCGATATGGCAATAATAGTTAAATAATTATTCTTAAAATTCAAATTTAACTCTTTTCTTTCGGATGGTAAGTTGGAAGAAGTCAGTGGAATTGATCGGGTAAATATTGAATGACTTCAGTATACTGAAATATGTTTCTAAATATTATGTTAGAAGAAGTTGGTAACTTTTAACAGACAAAATGGCGCACATGATAAAAGGTTGATATAGCGGGTTTTCCTCATCAGCTTATTCCAATATTTTCGTTTTGTCTTTCGCCTGTCTTATTTATATAAGCGCTATTTTCTTTCGTTCAACTATTAACGGCAAATGAACGGGGCGGAAGTTTTTCTTTTATTCTAATTATCAGAATGTGAAAATTTAATGACACTTGCCACTAGAAGACACTGCCATTGTTTTCTCATCATTGAAAAAGCGAAGCTCGATTGGATGATGGCTTCGAGCCGCCGGCAATGGCTTGACTGAGTTGATATTTTCGCACCAAAAGAAATCAGGCATTTCTCACTTTTGTGTGTCGAGTTTTGTGTCTGGTCATGTCTATTTACAGATATGCGTCTCTCTTTCCTTTTTTTTTTTTTTTTTTGCTTCGGGTGTTTCTTGAACGAATTACACCAATGATCCTATGGTTACAACTTAAAAGCTAATCATTTTTTTCATTTCGCGAGAGAAAATATATGATGGTTCAGAAATGACTTTTAGAATATTATCTATCTATCTATCTATCTATCTATCTATCTATCTATCTATCTATCTATCTATCGAGCACAGTTTGTTCATCTATCTATCTATCTATCTATCTATCTATCTATCTATCTATCTATCTATCTATCTATCTATCTCAGTCCATTATCTATCTATCTATCTATCTATCTATCTATCTATCTATCTATCTATCTATCTATCTAGCACAGTTTGTTCATTATATCTATCTATCCATCTATCTATCTATCTATCTATCTATCTATCTCAGTCTGTTCATTATCTATCTAGCTAGTTAGTTAGATGAATGAACAGACTGAGCTAGCTAACTAGCTAGCTAGCTAGCTAGCTAGCTCAGTCTGTTCATTATCTATCTCAGCTTGTTCATTCTATCTATCTATCTATCTATCTATCTATCTATCTATCTATCTATCTATCTATCTATCTATCTCAGTCCATTATCTATCTATCTATCTATCTATCTATCTATCTATCTATCTATCTATCTATCTATGTTCATTATCTATCAATGTCAGTCTGTTCATTATATCTATCTATCTCTGTTCATTATTAATGTCAGTCTGTTCATTATCTATCTATCTATCTATCTATCTATCTATCTATCTATCTATCTATCTATCTATCTATCTATGTTCATTATCTATCAATGTCAGCCTGTTCATTATCTATCTATTGTGCGAGAAAAAAAAAATGTCCATCAACAGTAAGAAGACAAAATGTATAGTAGTCAGCAAGATAAAAAGCCCAAAGAAATATTTTTAATGAAAGAGAAAAATAGTAACACCGAAATCCGAACACGTATTGCAACTGCAAAAATATCTTTCAAAGGCTAACCAGACACTCAAAAACAGGGATACATCCGTTCGATGCACACAAAAGGGTGGTGAACTGTTAGTCCGTATCAATTTTCCCATGTCAGTAAATTGAGGAAAATATCCCCACAGATGGGGAATGTTATTCTGCAGAAGGATGCTGAGAATGACGTGTACGGAGCGCGTAGGCAACGAACAAGTCTTAAGATAAATGGTAACAAAAAGAACATGTATACTCAGAATCAGAAAATTCCCGCTGAAATTTCTTGGACAGGACTTAAGGAAGAAGGTCTTGGAGAATTTGGCACTCGCAGGATATATATATATATATATATAAAAAAACAAGAACTGGCTACCTTCCTGGCGTGTTTGTGTGAATGGATCTTGGAACGCGGGTATGAGGCTGGCAAAGAGTCAAAAGTCTGCTAACAGTTTCAAAGAATAAAAATTTGGGGAAGCAGATCATCGCTCACATCCTGAAAGGATTCGGCACATAGATGGATGTGGTATCACGATTTCATTTACCTGAATATTTCAAAATAAACAAACAAAAAACGAAATATTTTACGACTTGGACACTTTCTAATGCTCCTACCAACATATATCTGGCTTTACTCTTCGTAATCTACTGTATTTAATGTGTTCTGCATCGTATTTCCCACCGGTGTCAGAATCTCGTGTTTGGTTTCTTGTAAGTTACTAATTCAAATAAAGTCTCTCCGCTAAAGAAAATTGGTGTCCGCGATCTTCCTTAACTATATTTATAGGTCCTGAGTGTTGAATTCTTAATCACCATTTATGGTTGAATTTTGTCTGGTAACTGTTGCAAGTTGGTATGGCTTTTAAACTGTAATTGCTCATGAACAGAGACCATTACAACCAAATAACTTTTAGAAAATTTAATAGAGCCATACTACGTCTTTTTGAAAGGATCATCACATCACATTATCGTCCGACATAAAGCTAATTCATTTAGGAATAATCTTTATAAATGACGGAACAAAAAAAAATCTTTTATATAAAATAATCTTTATAATATCAAAAAAAAATCTTTATACTATCTATATGTATGTATGTATGTACGTATGTATGTATGTATGTATGTATGTATCTATCTATCTATCTATCTATCTATCTATCTATCTATCGTCCAACATAAAAGTAATACATTTTGGAATAATCTTTATAAATGACGGAACAAAACACTTTCATATAAAATAATCTTTATATCTATCTGTATGTATGTATGTATGTATGTATGTATGTATGTATCTATCTATCTATATCTATCTATCTATCTATCTATCTATCTCTAAATTTGTTCATTATCTATTTATCTATCTATCTGTATGTCTGTCTGTCTGTCTATCTTATCTAAATCTGTTCATTATCTATCAGTATGTATGTATATCTGTTTGTATATCTATCTATCTATCTATCTATCTAAATCTTTTCATTATCTATCTATCTATCTAAATCATTTCATTATCTATCTAAATCTTTTCATTATCTATCTATCTATATCTAAATGTTTTCATTATCTATCTAAATCTTTTCATTATCTATCTATCTAAATATTTTCATTATCTATCTATCTATCTATCTATCTATCTATCTATCTATCTATCTATCTATCTATCTATCTCAATTTCTTCTACATATCTATCATATATGCCATTATTTTCATAATAATCTATCACCATCCTTAACCTAGCCATAATATTAAAAAAAAAACAACAAAAAAACGAAATAAATGATTTGCTTCTAGGAAACATTCTGATGGTCTCCTAAAATATTGTGTTCTAGGATTCAATATTGGCTGCAACAAGCTTAAAAAAATTAATTATGCAGATGACACTATATTGATAGCAGAGACTGAAATAAAGACTGAAAGGAAACGGCAGGAACTCTTCCATAATGTTGTAAAGGAAATTGAGAAGAAAGCATTATTCCACGTTTAGAAAAGTAAGTTATGATTTGTTAAATGAAACTGCATTTGTTCTTTTTTTATTTCAATATTTGTTTGTATTTTTTTTAAATATATTAAAATTTTAAATTTATTAAAAGCGACAACTGTTACACTACTCCCATATTTTATTATTACGGCTTGTTATTACAACACCCCGGGTTTGTACACTCTTCGACCGCTAAAAGAAACAGTGCGAAATCGACAAAAAAAAAAGCGTTTTCTACTATACTTGAATATTCTTTTCCATACAACTTTCAAGCATGACGCCTTAACGAGTTCAGCAACGGTAACCTGATGATTAATCAGCGTAAAAATATGTAGACACTCCATATTTTTGCATTAAGTACATGCGGAATATCGTCTTGATTTTTGTTATTATCACAACGTTTCAGCTATTGTATCCACCGTCCTTCATCAGATGCTTCTCGAACCATTACCATTCACGTAATTTTGAACTTATTTTGCGTCTAATCGCTATTTATGGATAGTGGCTCGGCATTTTAGCTCGTTAAATTCACTTACTCGCAAATGCTATTGGGAAAAATATGAATCTCTGTATTCTCCAAGCTATGGGTTAAAGAGTAGGACTTGTGGTAGGAAAAAATAATTGTTATTCTCAAAAACATTGGTAATAAATTTTTCAACGGAATAAATATTCTTACAATTCAAAAATCTCTTTCGGCTTTAAATAGCCCAGAAAGTGTTGATAAGACGTGAAAAACAAAACAGTCAATCAATCGATCAACCTTATGTTTACAAATGAATTTATCTGCGCATTTCAAAGGAAGCACGTGAAGATGTTATGCTGAATGTTTACAATGTATTTGTTATTCGTACTACTGCTTTCATCTTCGACGCTGATGAAGCAGATGTAAATAATAACATTTTCCCTTAGGTATCGAAGTGGTTATCGGCAAGAAATGCGTAATTGACGAACCAAGTCCAAATCATAGGCTCAGCTATTGCGTTCACTTGGCACTAATGCCCTTAGAAAAGATATGAATCCGTGTCTCCTTTCCCATCTCTTAGGTATCGAAGCGGTTATCGACAAGAAATGCATATTTGACGAATCAAGTCCAAATCATAGGCTTAGCTATTGCGTTCACTTGGCACTAATGCCCTTAGAAAAGATATGAATCCGTGTCTCCCTTCCCACCATCTGTAGGTTAAGTAACAGAAAAAATTAGGTACTATATGCTTGGGTAGTAGTTAATCTAAGATAGCAGGTGAAACGGAAGAGGATAGCAGATGAGGCGAAAGAGGATAGCAGGTTAGTCGGAAGAGGATAGAAGATGAGGCGGAAGAGGATAGCAGGTGAGGCGGAAGAGGATAGCAGGTGAGACGGAAGAGGAAAGCAGGTGAGACGGAAGAGGAAAGCAGGTGGGGGGAAGAGGATAGCAGATGAGGCAGAAGAGGATAGCAGATGAGGCGGAAGAGGATAGCAGGTGAGGCAGAAAGGTATAGCAGGCGAGGCGGAAGAAAATAGCAAGTGAAGCAGAAGAGAATAACAGGTGAGGCGGAAGAGGATAGCAGGTGAGGCGGAAGGGTATAGCAGGTGAGGCGGAAAAGAATAGCAGGTGAAGCAGAAGAGAATAGCAAGTGAGGCAGAAGAGGAGAGCAGGTGAGGCGGAAAGGTATAGCAGGTGAAGCAGAAGAGGAGAGCAGGTGAGGCGGAAGAGGATAGCAGGTGAGGCGGAAGGGTATTGCAGGTGAGGCGGAAGAGTATAGCAGGTGAGACGGAAGGGAATAGCAAAGGGGGAAAGGTATTGCAAGTGAGGCGGAAGAGGATAGCAGGTGAGACGGAAGATGATAGTAGGTGAGACGGAAGAGGATAACAAGTGAGGCGGAAAGGTATAGCAGGTGAGGCGGAAGAGAATAGCAGGTGAAGCAGAAGAGGATATCCGGTGAGGCGGAAGAGGATAGCAGGTGAGTCGGAAAGGTATAGCAGGTGAAGCAGAAGAGGAGAGCAGGTGAGGCGGAAGAGGATAGCAGGTGAGACGGAAGGGTATTGCAGGTGAGGCGGAAGAGGATAGCAGGTGAGACGGAAGGGAATAGCCAAGGGGGAAAGGTATTGCAAGTGAAGCGGAAGAGGATTGCAGGTGAGGCGGAAGAGGATAGCCGGTGAGGTGGAAGGTTATTGCAGGTGAGGCGGAAGAGGATAGCAGGTGAGGCGGAAGAAAATAGCAAGTGAAGCAGAAGAGGATAACAGGTGAGGCGGAAGAGGATAGCAGGTGAGGCGGAAGGGTATAGCAGGTGAGGCGGAAGAGAATAGCAGGTGAAGCAGAAGAGGATAGCAGGTGAGGCAGAAGAGGATAGCAGGTGAGGCGGAAGGGTATTGCAGGTGAGGCGGAAGAGGATAGCAGGTGAGACGGAAGGGAATAGCAGAGGCGGAAAGGTATTGCAAGTGAGGCGGAAGAGGATTGCAGGTGAGGCGGAAGAGGATAGCCGGTGAGGCGGAAGGGTATTGCAGGTGAGGCGGAAGAGGATAGCCGGTGAGGCGGAAAGGTATTGCAGGTGAGGCGGAAGAGGATAGCAGGTGAGGCGGAAGGTTATTGCAGGTGAGGCGGAAGAGGATAGCCGGTGAGGCAGAAGAGGATAGCAGGTGAGGCGGAAGAGTATAGCAAGTGAGGCAGAAGAGGATAGCAGATGAGGCGGAAGAGGATAGCAGGTGAGGCGGAAGAGGATAACTTGTGAGACGGAATGTTTGTAAGACAATCAAAGATTTGGAATTTTTTTTTTTAATTCATATGCCAAAAATAAATATAATTTTAAAATTTAAAATATTTATATGGATTACTTATAATTGCACGCATGAGGCCGGGTATAAATAGTTATAAATAATTATTAACCGATTTTATCATTGCGATATTTATGCATTATATCAAGTATTAAGAATATGGTAACCAGGATCTGTAAATTGGAGGAGAGAGTTATCAATGATAATGGTCTGACTTGAAATTCATGGTTATCTACCTTCAACACTCTCTCTGTTTCGTTTATTTTTGGCAGGGTGGGGGCTAATATACTTTTCATTTTGAAAACGCAGCCCAGAGAAACCAAATTTAGGGACTACTGGTCTAAGAGAAGGAGTACAATGAAATTTAAAACGCTGGAGAGGGCAACGGGAAATACTCCACTATTTTTCCCAAGAAGTTATAGCAATTCAAAGATAATCAGGAAAAGGAAATGTTCAAAAACGTTTAGAATTGAAAACAAAAAAAAGAAACTATCCACTATAATTTCTTATACATGGTGACAAAACAACAAAAAAAAAAACAAAAAAAAACAGAACACATAAATATTGTGATAAATGCTACAAAGTTTCACGTCCTGTGTATGACGATAAACTACATCTGCGTCCTGGGTACGAAGATAAACTACGTTTAACAGCAAGGCCTCTGATCAGGAGGTTTTCAGGAGCGTGGAGCCACCTCATAATTGCTGGTGTTCCCAGGTCCACCCTGACCCGGGGTGGTAGTACCTGTCAGGGTCCCAGCTATGGGAAAATAGTTAACACCGAAACTTGTGTAAAAATAGGTTTTAATATCAGAAATACTTTATAAAAAAAAATTTACCAACAATAATTTTGAAGAAAAATTTATTATCGGCAGTACTTAAGAAAAAAATACCAGCACTACAAACAGCTTTATATTTAAAAAAAAAAAACAAAAAACAAAAAAAAAAAACATTATCATCTATAGATTTCTTGAAGGAAAAATATTCTCAGAAATAGATTTTTGAAGAAAAAAATATTCCCAGAAAGAGATTTTTGAAAAAAAAAAATATATTACCAGCAATAAACATTTTTGTCGGCATTAAATAACCCATTGAGGTTGATATGCCGTAAAACAAACAAAAAAACATACAAAGTTTCAGTTAATTTCAAGAAACTTGGTGGATTTATACATCTGTGTATGGTCATTTCCCAAAGTTTTAGTTAAATTGGTCGCTTAGCATAAAAGTTACGATCTTTCCAAAATATGTTCCAAATAGCCTCTGCGGCGTTGGATGCAAACTTGCAAACGTAGCGCAAAATGGTTAATTACTCGGACACAATCCTCTTTGGGGATTTCCCTGATTTTACTTTGATTGCTACCTTCAGTTCACCAATCATTTGAGGGTTGTTCTGCTCTAAATTATCCATGAGATACCCCCACAAATAAAAATTTAGAGGGGTCAAGTCCAATGAGTGTGGTGCTCCCTCAACACTACACTTCCTGCTGATCAGTCTCTCCTGAAATCATTCTCTCATCCAAGCTAAGGAGTCGTTTGATATGTGTAGCCTCGTCTTGCTGGATATTCATCTCGATCTACCCCTCTGCATCGTCCTAGTGTTACCCAAAGCTTCCTCAGCATTGAAGGTTTTATTTTTTCTTGGGTTACCCTGTAAAATTAAAGCTCCCATATATTTTTGGACTGTATTTGAAAATCAGAGATGAAGGCAAGAATCATAAAGAATTCGCATTTCGTTTGATAACGTCTGTAAATAGCTATGTTAACAAGAAATAATTGAAGGATAATGAATGTAGAGACCAAAGTGAAAACGAACGTATTAAAAATAGAAAAGCAAGGAAACAAGCAAGAAAATAAAACTGTGAATGATATTAGGAAATTCAGGAATATTCCTGTCTGAATATCCGAAATGATAAACTGTCATCATCATACATTAATCTATTCAAACTAGGGCCTTCATTATAGCGCCCAATGAAACCATTTGAAGGCAAGGTAATAGAACGAACACACAACGCCACATATTACAAACAAAATATAACATCAGCAGTACGCAGTTATCAACGATGTAAGAATAATATCAATATTTACGTTTGTCAATAAAAGTCAGATGAAATTCTTATTTAATACTATTCAGTTATTCAGTGCCATACGTGATACACACTTGTGCGATCGTGCATCTTTCGATAAATGAATGACGAGGCAGATTTTTCCCGTTGCGGTAGACTGGTTGCCAATCAAGGCTAAATAAGCCAGCCTGTCCTGCTATTTAATCGATACCTGGGGGAGAAGAGGTGGATTCATACCTTTCCCAAGAGTATTCCTGTGGAAGTGAATTTTAAAAAACTCAAAAATTTGAACTCGGCTCTCCGAGTTCTCATTCCGAGCCGATATCTATTACACCACAACGCACCTGCTAGTTATTACTCGCCCGTTTCCACTGAGCGTAAGCATAGACTGTCCGTCGCAAGGATTGAACTGACCATCACTATATCACCAAATTCACCAGCCAACGTTTAATCAACTAGGTTGATAACGGAACAGTGCTCAATAAAGATAATACCTCCATATTATAATCTGTATAGCTTTATGCTATTATGATTGTGTTCACCAATAACAAATCCCGGTAGGACTTCTGGTTGCTGGCGTGAGAACAGAACCAATAGCGATAATAAGGAAAGATGTGCCGTGGTCAGAAAAAACAAAAAAAATCTGCGTTACCTACAGAGAATTCTGAACAGAACCCTTTATTTAATCTGTGGGGTAGACACTTTTCGTTCCGCTGCTCGTGTCTGGAGATATCGTTTACTCCCGGAGATTAAATAAAGGGCTCAGTTTACAATTCCCTGTAAGTTACCCAGGTTAATATACACCAGAAGAAGGCCGGAGGGCATAACGGCAGAAATGTGATAACAACAACAGAGATGAAGAAAATAGTTCGAATATAAAGAGTATGAATAATGATAACTTCTCATCACAGAAATTCAGACAAAAAAAATTCTTGTTATTGTTTAATCTAGGCAACGAATGAAAAGGAAAGGGGCAAGCGTATCTCCTTGCAAAACTCCTGCGACAAGTAATAAAAAAAATTCCGCATCTCGATCGGGATATCAAAATCCGGAAAGGCAAGGCCTGGGGTGTTCTTGATGGTCTGAGCACCATCTGGAAGTCTTTCCTCTCTGACAATCTTGAGAGATTTCTTTTAGGCGACTGTAGAATCTGTCTTGCTCTACGGCTCAACATGGACACTGACAAAACACCAAGACGCATCACTTGACGGAATATACACAAGGATGTTACGAGTTGCATTGGACATCACCTGCAAGAAACATCCAACAAAAGAAAAACGCCAGTATGGACACCTTCCTCCTACAAGAGTTTCGCTAAGAGTAAGAAGGCTTCGGCTAGCTGGTAACTCCTGGAGAAGTAAGTCAGATCTTGTGAGTGGCACGCTTCTATGGAACCCATTGCGCGGCAAAAGATCGGTTGGAAGACCTCATCACACCTACATTGACCAACTTGACTCTGGTGGAAGCCCAGTCGGCGGCGATGTGTGACAGAGATGGTTGGAAGGAACGAATCAGAAGAATCCGAGAAGAATTCTCGACCTGGTGATGATATTGTTTAAATAAAAATATTTTTTTTTATAAATTTTAACCGACAGAAACCCTAATTGCTCGGTCAATGAATGCCTAATATTTCTGTGACGAAAGACATGACTTACCTCAGAGTTCAAAACGAGCGTGAACGTGTCTTGCCTGTAAAGTAATGACGAAAAGAAACATGGCCGCTATTGATGACGCAATTTATGCGCACCTATCTCGTCCAAAACGAGATGAAATTTGCACACATGCAAATTTTGGCCGTATCAGACTGGCATAAAAAGCGGGATGCCAGCAGCACGACTCAGGTCGGGAGTCATTCGGCGGACTGTGTCCAAAAGAGTTGGACGTACGAATTGACAGACGGACAAAGAGGAAGTCGAAGTAGGCGCGGCTGAGTTGGTGTCTGTTTCACGACTGCCCGGTGTAACGGCCGAGAAAGGGAGTCTCGCAGACCATTTCCTTGAGGCGACCGACGACGAAGGAAGAATAGCTGGTCTGCTGGCGAACGGCGCACTGCACTTTCTGACCCCCCCCCGCTCGTCACTTTTTTTTTTCTTTTTGGTTTAATACAGTTTCCTGTGCGAAAATGGTTAATCTCGGCATTTATAGAATTTCGAACAGAACACTTTAGTCAAGTGACATTTGTTCACATTCCGCTATCTCTAAGAAATTGTAAAAACAAAGATAAGGACATTAGTCCGAATAAGGTAAATAATTCCTGTTATCTTTATCAGGCTTGGGCCTCAAAAGAAACACCATCTATTGACAATTTTGCTCTAAGACAGTGGTCATAGAATAAGCGATACTGCATCATCCGAAGATACTAATTATTCAGAAACACAAAGTAGTCACCTTTGCTTATTAATATTTGATTGATTTTCAGCAACAAAATAAGTCAAGGAATATATTTTGTTTGGATGTAGCGCGTGGGCTAATAACCTTATCTCGTAAACCAATTAGTGTTGTCAGTCTGTTACTCCCTGCTATCGCAAACTACATTGGCCATGCGCAAGACTAAATTGACTTCATTAAATAAGAGCTCTATTTAATCGCCCTTCATGGCGTGAGGGTTAACATTGTCTCGCAAACCAATTTGTTTCGTGTAAAGTTAATGGCAATGGGGAAATTAGACGTTTCCATACAATAACATTCGGCATTCATTGACCGAACAGTTCTGGGCGTTGAAATTTATAAAATCGAACAATGAACATATTTTCATGCAGGAAAAAAGCTTCACAGGCCCAATAATGGAAATATATATATATATATATATATATATATATATATATATATATATATCCATTAGTCCACTGTACCTTCTACTATATATATATATATATATATATATATAT